CTATAATCAATGGTTAGATATTGGGGAAAAAATAAAATTTCATAGAGACATCAGTAGTATTGGTATCAGTTATACTGGCATTCAGGCATAAAAAAGATGCCATTAAACAAATATAAAAAATATACTGTCTTTATGTTGACAGAGTAATTTCAGATCAAATTAATTTCAGAAAAATTTGATTACTTACATTTTTTTTAATTGATTGACAGCACTAATATAGATATCATTCTGTTAATTTTTTGTTTATTTAATGTTTATTCATTTAATGTTGTTTGCATGTGATTTTGAATAAGGAGAAACCTGTGGGTCCCCAGAAGGACTGCAGCTGCAGCAGAAGCCATGGAAGGAGGACCTTTGGTCAAACTAAGCATACAGTCAAGTGCCTGACGGTACCCATCCACCCTGACAGGTGTGTGTGTGAGAGCTCAATCCTCTCCCTCAATGAAGACACATAAAAACAAACAAAAAACGAACCATGGTGGTGGCATCGTCATCATGCTGTGGGTGTGTTTTACAGCAGCAGTGACTGAAGGACTGCTCAGGGTAGAAATAAAAGTTGAAATCAGAAAATTACAGAGCTATCCCAAATCAAAACCTGCTCCAGAGTGCTCAGGACCTCAGACGGCCCCAGAGGTTCACCTTCCAACAGGACACTGAAGACTGTGAATGACCTTGAGCGACCCAGCCAGAGCCAAACCAGTCAAACATCACTGGAGAGACCTGAAAATGGCAGACCACTGACGGTACCCATCCACCCTGACAGAGCTTGAGAGGATCTGCAGAGAAGAATGGCAGACAACCTCCAAATAACATCACACCCAAAACACTTGACATTGTAATTGCTGCCAAATGCACTTCAACTAAACGATTTACAACTGCCATTATTTGTATCATTATCATAAAATTATTTCAAACAAGCTCCTATGAAAAGGCATAGGGTGCCTCCACCTGCTGTGCCTATTTGAGACCGACACAAGTGTCACTCAGTGTCCAGCAGTGGAGCGTCAGATCGGATCTGCTCTCCTCACACAGCTGCTATGAGACGCTACCTGGAAGACGCTCATTATATAAGCAGCTTTTAATGAGTTAGATATTTGAAAGGGCTCCAAGTTCAAACGAATACTGCAGCAGGTCTCTGCCAGATGCTGCCTCTGAGCTGTGGGAGTTAATCACACTCACACACACATACAGACACAGACACAGACACACTCACACACAGACACACTCACACTTACACTCACACACAGACACACACACTCTCACACACACATACAGACACAGACACACTCACACACAGACACACTCACACTTACACACAGACACAGACACACTCTCACACACACACACACAGACACACTCACACACACAGACACACTCAGACACACACACACAGACACAGACACACTCACACACAGACACACACACTCACTCTCACACAC